AGAATACTCGATTCTGATTGGTCTAATATTTTGTAGCCGGTTTAGACGATCGTAGAGATTATTAATCTCTGATTATTTAATAGTTTCAGAGAGTTAAGGGTTGGAGTTTATGGTTTTAAAGAGGTTAGAGAGTTAGTGGCGGGAGTGGATTTGGCTTTGTCTGCTCTGTCCTAACTTCCGGTCTGAGGTTGCTGCTGTACTCTTCTGGTCGGAAACCGATGTAATGAATGGGCTTCAGGGTTTGCGGGTCTGCACAAGCATGTTTCATGGGTAACGTTAGGGGTGTTTGAGCACGTTGGACAGCATTCATTGAAGTCGTTTCGCATTTCCCCCCCGCGCTTGTTTTTGGACAATGGCTTCTGAAAAGGAAAAGATTGCCCGAAAGCTGTTTGAGGAGAATCATGTTTTGGAAGAGCTTGGTAATGTAAGTGAAAACGAATCTCGCAACGACAACGAGTCCGAAGTGTCGAAGGCCGATAAGGATAAGGAGGAAGAGAAAGATGACCCTGATTATGATCCGTACGTACACGTTTTAAACTTCTAAACTCATTTGTGAGTTTTTATATCTGTATCTGTGTGTCTGCTCCGTGCATTTTGTTTATCTGTTGTTGCATATTTGAATTGTCGCGCACAATGCATGTGTTGCTTGCATGAATTGCATTGTGTTTTGCAACTCTTGCATATTTCTTTGCCCGTCTCGTACGTGCATATGTGAATTGCTTTTGTGTAATTGTTAACTTACATGCATATTGTGAATTACATTGTGCACCCGACCGATTCACAAACACAGGGTTGCCAGTCACTGGTATGCATACAATCGCTATATAGTAGTAATAAACACAATCTGTTTTCTCTACAAGTGTCCCTACAAGTTCCCCTCTCTCACAAAACCCATAATCTAGAACAGTTTTATCATTGGTAGAATGAAAAATGGGTAAAATATTTTAATACAAGCATTTCAGTCAAATACAATTTATGCAGTATTTCAAACTTTTAAAGGAATAGTTCACTCAAAAATAAAATTGCCATCATTTACTCACCCTCATGTCGTTCCAACCCAGTATAAATTGACTTCCATAGGAGGGAAATAAATACCATGTATACAATACTATGCAATAGGGCTGTCAAAATGGCTGAAAAACTAAATTCGAATTTTGTACTGATAAAGCCAATCACACAGAGTACATTTTTCATTTAAAAACATGATATGCGGTGGGATGGGGAAAAACCCGCCATAAAGTCTCGATATATGTTTTTTTTTTCAAAGTTAAACTTGCATTAATTTTACATGGATTTCTAAACATGCGGCTCTTTTGTGCGAGACGCGAGTGCAACAGTAATAGATGTCCGTCTAGAAAATGCGATAAATATGTGTTCTGTGTGAACGGCATGGTTTCGGTTTTGATGTAAACAAGATCTTCTCCGCATTGATGTTCTCTTTTCCCGCTATATTTTTAATGAACAACGCAGCAGCGCCTCTAGTGGGTTCAACTGGATAGGCTAACAAAAACATTATAATGCAACGACACTTACATCGTCATCGCATCTCGTGCGCCGCTAAGGCAGGCTGCCTCCTCCTGCACACCTAAAATTCGAATGCAACGGTTTTGCATTCGAATGTGGATTTTTATTTTAAATTCGACGAATATTCGAAATTCGATTTTTTTGGGGGGGGACAGCCCTACTATGCAATGGGGACCATCAACTGTTTGATTACCAGCAGGGTCATTCCATGTCAATTCAACAAAATTTCAGAAACATCCCCGGCTCAAATTTTTGATTTTGCTCATATTACTTTCTGTAGAAAGATAAACGTGATGAAAGCCAAAATATTAAATCTCATGGATGATTATTTACGGAGTAATCCACTATTTTGTTGAGGGGGGTCAAAATGGCAATTTTCACATGAGATTTAGAGCCAAATTACAAGGGGGTAAAAATGACTTCGGAAAGATGGCAGCATCGTAATGTTACTTTTACACAGAGATTGGTAGGTCTATCAGTAAAATCTGTTGACTTTAGCAATTTTTGCTGCATTATGTGACAGTGGTGATTAGTACTGGGCGGTATGACCAAAAATGTATATCACGGTATTTTTCAAAATTATACCGGTTTCATGGTACATGACGGTATTTTTTTTTTTCATGCATGACCGGGTGTTAACCATATTTTCTACTGATTGAGAGAGGAAATACTGCAGTATATTGACTTAGAATGCCCTATTTTACTGTCATGAGTGAATATTGTCAAAAAATACCACACTATATAGTGACTAAACACGACCCCTTTTAAAAAATGTTAACCAGTTCTTCTGTGTCATCACGTTCTATTAGTTCTACATCTTCAGTTTCGGAACTTTCACACTTAGTAGCACATAAAACTGTTCCCTCACCACAGTGCAACAGTGAAAAGGGACCCCTTTCAAACAGTGTCGCGTTCCCAACGTTGTTTAAGCGACATACATTGCGGTATTTTAAAAATTAATATCATAACAAAAATAAACACCGGTATTCGGTATGAACCGGTATACCGCCCAGCACTAATGGGGACCAAAAAATATTAGTAAAATCAAAAATTTGAGCCGGGGACCTCTGGTTGAGTTGACATGGAATAAACTCAACATTCTTCAAAATATCTTCTTTTATGTTCAACATAAGAAAGAAACTCATACAGGTTTGGAACGACGTGAGGGTGAGTAAATGACAAAATTTTCATTTTTGGGTGAACTATCCCTTTAGTGGCAGTTCTGGATTATGTGGTGCCCTAGGCAAAAATAGACATGCCCCCAATGTAATATTACATATGCAATAAAGTGGGAATAGTATTAAATGTGACACACTTTTATTGCAGAACTATATACAACACCAACAAAAGACAAATGCACTAAATAAAATATTTTAATAAATGAATATTTACAATAAGCACTTAACTCAAATAACTGTTAAACAATAAAATAACTACAGAATTGTCTAAAATCAGATTTCTTCCATTTAAGTGGGATTACTCTTCAACCGAATTAACATTTTAGCCCCTCTGGTCTTCAATGATGCAAGGACAAAGTTTGAGCACATACATGCAATATCTGAGTAAGACCAGAGCCATTTCATAAGAGAACATTGTATTTTTGAAAGCACGCATCAAGAGTTCTGTGCAAGAGCGAAGGAAATCCGCCTGCAAGTGGAGAGATTCTTGCTCACGCATTACATGGATGTGCTATCGTGTTACAATAATGTGCTCTTGATATTTGTCATAAAAATAACACCTAGGGCTGCACAATTAATCAAATTTCTAATCGCGATTACAATTATGGATGCCACAATTACGTAATCGTTCAAAGCTGAGTGCAGCCCTAATAACACCATATAACCTGCCTAAAATTAAGCATAAAGAAAGTAGTGTAGTATAGTGTGTGTTCACATATGCATGCATCAGATGCACATGTGTATTGCGCATGTCCACTTATCAGTGTGTGTTTGTTCTGTGTTACAGTCTAGATTCAAGCGATGATGAATGGGAAGCAGACAACGAGCCGAGCCCCAAAAAACGTCAATTCGTCCCATCCCCCATCACCACACCACAAACCTCCAGAACCCCTGCATCCTCTGCTGTTGGTTTCTTGAGTCCAAGGTCAACACGCAGAGGAAAAACTAATTCTAAACGGGGGAGAAAAAGGTCTGCAGCTTGCATGTCAGAGGACAGTGAAATGGGCTTTTGGAATGACATCAGCGTGGAGGATGAGGCTCCGGTGCTACCCAATTTTGTTCCAAAGCGAAATCCAGGAACTCAGCTCATCATGGCCAGTAATTATTCCCCCTTGCAATTATTTCAGCTTTTCTTCCCGTACTCTGTGGTGGCCACCATTGTGAAGAACACAAATAGTTATGCAAAAATGAGGACTGAAGCTGGAAAGAAATTCTTGTGGGTGCCTTTGAAGGTGAAGGAACTATATTCGTATATTGCGCTTGTTATTTACATGGGGCTCCTCAGCACAAAAACTATAATAGATTACTGGTCAGGCAAAGAAATTTACAATTTGCCGTTCCCAAAATCAGTGATGTCCAGGAGCAGATTTCAGGCCATCGCTTGGAACCTGCATCTTTGCGATCTTCAGGAGGATCGAGCGAATGCAAAGAAAAAGGGGACTCCAGACTATGACAGACTTTTCAAAATCAAGCCTCTGTACACTGACATCATCACAGCATGCAAAACGTACTTCCATCCAAACAGAGAGCTGGCGGTGGACGAAAGGATGGTGGCATCTAAAGCGAGAATTGGCTTCAAACAGTACATGAAGGACAAGCCAACCAAGTGGGGTTACAAACTCTTCGTTCTTGCTGATTCTGCATGTGGCTACACATGGAACTTCTTCATTTATGAAGGCAAGTCTTCTTTGGCCACAGGTAAAGGACTGAGTTATGATTCTGTGATGCGCCTCTTGGATCTGTCTCTTCTTGGCAAAGGCTACCATGTGTATATGGACAACTTTTATACAAGCCCAGGCCTTTTGTTGGACTTGCTGGAGAAACGGACAGTTGCCTGTGGCACGATACGCTCCCATGTACAGGGCTTTCCTAGAACAAGGGCCAATGAGCTCAGCGAAAGGGCACAAAGAGGATCCATACGCTGGCTTCGTGAAGGTACGCTTCTCTTTGTGAGGTGGATGGACACAAAACTGGTTTCGATGTGTTCGACGATTCACAAGGCATTTGATGGCTCTACCATCTCAAGGCGTGTCAAGAATCCCAAGAAAGAATGGGAAAAGCGCCAAATCACAATTCCGGAGACAGCGAAGGACTACAATAAATATATGGGAGGTGTGGACCTTTCAGATGCCCTGATTGGGTACTACAATGTCATACACAAGACCAAAAAATGGTACAAGACCTTTTTTTTCCATTTTGTCGATATCGCAGTGGTGAACAGTTTTATTATCCACCAGCATCTGTTGAAATCTCAGAAAAAGACCCCTCTCACCCAGAAGGAATTTCGAGAGGCACTCGTGGCTGAGCTGGTAGGGACTGTCATACCGCCCAGCGCATCAGAAGACGTGGAGCCATCCACATCATGTGACCAAGAGACCTCTGGACCATCTGCTGCGGAGGAAGAGCTATGCTGGCCGGAGTATTTTGGGTCAGATGCCACAAGTGGGAGGAGAGTTTGTGTCCTGTGCAAAATTTCAGGTCACAAAGTAAAGACACCTGTGTACTGTACAAAATGCAATGTAGCTTTGTGCTTTGTGTCTTCAAGGAACTGCTTCAAAAAATGGCACACTGTGAAACCCTCTGAAAGCGATGAGGAAAAATAAGTGCATTGTTTTTTGTCAGCGGAGATTTGACTAAAAGCTGTGCACTTGCCCCACTGAAGTGTTTTAAAGTGTTTTTTTTCATTATATAGTAACTTCTTACATTGTAGATTAGTAGCTGTTGACATTTATGTATCCCTCGTTTTTATAATATGCTTTACACTACATTTTTCCTATATCCATTTAATTTTCTTTCTTTCTTTAGATTTTTTTGGACCAACTAGTTGTTTTAGTATTGTGTAAAATAAAAAGCAAGAACTGCTACTTGGTCTCCTTTTGCTTGTTTGTCACATGATACGAGTCAGCTTAAGGCTGTAGTACACTACATGACTTTTGCACACATTTTTGTCTCAGTTTGCAGTCTGGACGATTCAATGTTAATTGCTGAAAATCAGTGCCAGTCTGCAGATTTTGGGCAGTTAGTTGATGGATTTCACAGTCAGTTGCACAATGTATGAAGAGCACAAACCTTTTGTAACCACTTACGAAGTCCGCAAGTGTGTGATGTTTTAAAATCTGTTCTGATTTTAAAAGTGGTTTATTCAAGCCTTTAGTGTGATAAAATATTTGAAGACTGCCTTGCGATGTATAGCATATAGTAAAAGTAGGATTTTTTAGGTAATATTTGCAGTTAAACAGAAGATACCCCTCTAATTCACGCAAAGCTTCATGGGGCGAAGGAAATTGGATAACTTTTGTTTAGAAAGTGTTGAAGGTGTTTGCTGCCACCTACTGGAATTAAAGGAACTTTTCAGCACGGACAGGTTACTGATTAGGAGATTTTTTAAAATAAAATAATGCTAGCCTATCTCTTCGGCCATTAATCATGCATGCTGGAATGATAGGTCGTTTCAGTCAAATTAATATTGACTTAAAACCAGTACATTTGTTGCCACAAAGCGCAACATATGCTTATTTACGTTTTTTTTTACAAGTCTGGAAATTTAACCCTAAAAATGGGAACGTATCCTGGGGGATACAAACATTTGAGAACCTGTGGGGAGAAGCAGTGAAAGTGTAGGTCTTATTTCTTGGTTTCATTTTGAAAGGGTGTTTGTTGTGAATATTTAGATGAGGTGACTTTTGTTTTCTACATTCTTTGTTTAGCTCGCAGGAAGCATTTAAAACTGCAACCTGTAGTGGGAAATCTACTCGCCCTCTGATAAAAGTTGATCTAGTTCACATATTTACACATGTTGGAAAACAGCATTAGAGCATTAGCTTATTAGGTTTACATTGAAAATGTAAATGCTTACATTTTTTGTAATCTGTCTCTAAATGTTTGTATCAGGGAGTATGGCGCCCTTTTAGGGGTATAAATCAAGATATAAAAACAATCAAGGTTCCATATTTGGTAACTGTTTTGTAATAGAAGTGATATTGTGACAGAAAATGATTGACTTGTGACAGAAAACTGCATCAAAAAATTCAATAGAGTTTGGGTGTAACCCAGTGGTTATTTTTGGTATAGTGCCCAAACAAAATCTCACAGGAACCACAATTTTTGTGATATCAACTTCAAATTCGAAACATAACTTGGTTAGACATATGGCTTTGATTTTATAGCAATTTTAGAGTGCAACATATTTGATAAAATATTTATTTTATATATAATAAAAAATGTATAGTACATTAACTTTACTGTAAACTTTTTTAAAACTTTCTTTTTCTGAAATGCTTTCACTTCAGCAATCTAAAAAGAGACCAACCTTAGTTCTGTATTCCAAAGTGTTCAGGAATTACAACCATGTTGTAACAAGCATTGATAAGCAAGTGTTCTGTTTTCAGGGGGTGAGGTGTCCTGGGGGATATAAACATTAGTTTTGAAAAATAAATAAATAATGAAATTGTATTATTTGAGTCCCAATAAGATGCAAAATAGCAATAAATTAATTTTCTGATGTCTTCATGGTTTTGCCCTTTTTAGGGTTAAGCACCATCTAGGCTAGGCCTAGGCTACTCATCATGTCAAAATTCTAAAAAATACGGAAACTGAATTAACAAACCAGCTTCGTTAGCGACATGGTTTTATGTGTTTACTATGGTTTGTGTGTGGTAAGAGTTTAACATGTGCGTCCTGCCAGACACACTGGAGTAAATGTCTAGTCCCAGGCACTCAGACTGGAGGACTCTCGCTACAGAAGATCTGCTGAATCATGGGCTGCTCCTGCCGTTACTCGCCCGTATGTCTACAGTTGTGCTTGCGTGTCGAGCAGGTGTTCAGTAGAGACCCCTAGCAACAAAGCCTTGTACTAACATGCTGACCTACCAATGTTAGTACTTAATTATGTTTGTTAGCATGAAGTCCACTGGGCTAAGTAGTACAAAAGCCAAACGAGCAGGTGTTGTTACAAAACGTAATTGGGCGAGTTTAGAGCTAATCTGTGGATCCTGGAACTCTATAATGGACATGCGCTGTCAGACATTGACATTTGCATATCATTTTAATGGTTAACATTACGACTTGCAATTGCTATTTGCACATGGCTTAGCTGTGTGAAATCAAATCGTCTAAACTGCGGTATATGTCAACGCTGCTTCTCAATGGTCTGCTTTTGTTTTTATTGTGCATATCGCTTTCATTGTGCATACCGCTATGTCTAAGAAATGGAGAAACTGTTGTTACTAAAACGGGGGAAAAGCAAACGTCTATACGTGAATGTGAAAAGTTATTAATGACACATTTTGCAATGATTCATAGGTTATTATATTGAGTCATGCTGTTATCGTGAATGTCTTGGTAACTTGCTAATATTGTTGAAACAAAACAGGCTGCAAATAAATTCACTGACATTAATTTTATTTAACTGATTCTATTTTTATTTTTTTATTCGGTAAAACAAGTTAAGTTTTTATTAAACAAATAGCAATTGAAATTCATAAAATAGGCACATGGATTTTTATTTATATTCCACAATGACCAGTAGGTGGCACTCTGACTGCTACACTAGGATAGTTCTCTTCTACAGCATGCAAATCCACTAATACAACATAAGAAAAAAACATATATATATAGTTTATTTTACAAGTATCTGTTAACATTCAGGCTAACAATCTGCAATGCAGGCCAGGCCATTGGTTGCCTTTATGCCAGAAATAGTGTAATTTTAGTTGTTAGGTCTACAGATTATATGTGACGATTTTTGGGGGGAAAAAGTAATAATAAAATGCACATAAAGCTTAGTCTTGTTGACCATATGACCTTGTTGCATCTTTTTGCATAATAAGAACCATATTAATAATATATTTCATGTAGGTCAGATCTCAGTTCTGGGTCTAGGTCACAAAGGTCAGGCATGTGTAGAAGATACAATAACCCCAGGTTTCTTTTTTTCTATTTCTTTTCCAATACCTTTGTATTTATCGTGTAATTCAATCTAATTTTGGATTGCAAGGGTCTATGACCATGGGGTCTGTGAATGTGCTGCTGGGGGTCAGTGTCCAGATATATAAACCCATAATTTTACCACATTTCTTATCACAGCTGCTTAAATGAATATTTAGCCTACTATTAGTTTGTTGAGTAATAAATAGCTAATGTCATAATGCTTGGTAATGTTGAAGCAACTGTATGTAGTTTTGTTTATTTTTTGACTTTGAAGCAGTTAAGTGAGTGGAATTCACTGTCATAAATATGCCTGTATAAATAATATAACTGTACACATGCTTTTATTGCTTGCTGTAAAGCAATCCACACATTTCACAGAATTTCACAGCGTTTCACCAAACGTTCATGCTCCGAGTATTATTAATAACGCCTCTGGATAACAGGGAGCGAAAGAGAAGTCATTCGTCTTATTAGAAGTCCGTGTACCATCAGAATGATTTGAGACTGATTTTTTAAGGTAAAAAAAAAGTACATACAGTTGCTGTAAGTTATTTTAAAGTGTTACTGAGAAAATCTAGTCTTTTATTGATAGAGCATACTTAGATTTAGTCCTAACTTATTTGTCATATGTACATTGTGTTAGTGTTGTATTGTTTTTACTTTTATGTTTATACTGTGCAAAGTGTTTTGAGCAATGGCTGAAATTGTATTATTATATATTATTATTGTTATTGTTGTTTTTATTAGAAACTCAGTTGTATGACACAGCTAGTCATGTGATGTCAACATGGCCACGCCCATGAAGGGGCGACCCGCCTCATGTCACGTTAAATAAAGCAACTTTCTAGAAGTCTGGTTGTCTGGAGTCTTATGTGCATGTACATCATTTAACTATTTTATTTATTAAGTGCAGTTTTTCAAAACGCCATAATTAACTCATGTAAAAAATAATATTTCTTATATTTCTCCCTGTAAATTTTAAAAATACGCTTGCATTGCTATAGTAAATGAGGGGGATGAGAGGGAGTGGCAGTAAAGTTTTTTTGCGCTGTGTGTGTGTGTGTAATTGAGCAGCAGTAGTTTGATGTAATGGAGGGGATGGGCGAGTCAGTCCGCCTACTCGGGCTTTGTGTTGATGTTCAGGCGGTGCAACAGCGCTGACAGTCCGCGACCGTAAAGTTTTTTTGCGCTGTGTGTGTGTGTGTGTAATTGAGCAGCAGTAGTTTGATGTAATGGAGGGGATGGGCGAGTCAGTCCGCCTACTCGGGCTTTGTGTTGATGTTCAGGCGGTGCAACAGCGCTGACAGTCCGCGACCAGAGCAGCACCAGAGAACAGCATTCCCAACACCCATCCTCCACAAAGACAGGAAGAGAGGGAGAGAAAGAGGACAGACGGTGTTTTGGGCGATTTGACTGTAAGGGAGTGGAGCTGGACTGAATCATGGCCACTTCAACGTCTTGCACGGGCTCCACACTGCTGCAGCCGATTAGCAAGATTATTGATCTGCCACTGGACCAGGTAAACTGTCACTTTAACTGGGATTTATGTTTCGCTTTTGTCATTTTGCCAAGCAAAGATCGCTAGCTGGTGAGTCGTTTGCTGTAAATCCAGCACATTTGATGCGCACCGACAACTGCATGATATAAGAGCGTTTTGGTATTATATTGTATATGACATAACAAGCCTGAAATTCATCTTCGCGCATTTCATAACGCTCGTTTGTCTCATTTTCCTTCCTGTATTTTTCTCAAAATATTGGCTGATGACAAGTGAGTCACAGGCTTTGTTGCTAAACCAAGTATGTTATCTGTTTAGACAGCATTTTAGGCATTTAGGCGCCTTCAGAGAAGTGCAAACATCATGCTCGCGAGCGCCAGTGAAGCCCCGTGATGTTGTCTATGTAACGTTAGGCAGCTCGATAGGTTTTGACACACCGCCATAGTCACGATTTCGCCTGGGCTGGAGAGACGTTTTGCAAAAAAATAAGAGATTATATTTACAGATGTCCCAAATACAAACCGTTGTACCATGAATTATTAAAGCAAAAGAACACTTCAGTTAAGGCAGCGAGACCAGAGTTTTTTTTTAGCATGAAATGAAATGAGTTTTGTTTCATTTCCCCATTTTGTCATGTTTTATCTCGCGTAAAAACAATTGTATTTTTATGTGATTTACTTGAAGATTTTTAAAAATTTATTGGAAGACCAGAGGTTTTTCTTTTCATATCCTCTGGTAAATAGTGGTGGGGACTTTGATTCATCCAAGACAAGTGACTCGATTCTTTTGAATCAGTTCACTAAAAGGATTCATTAACTTGTTCCTTATTTCCTCAAGATTTTTGTATTGATGAATTATTAATAATGCCTGTGGATAAGTCATATGCCTCAGGTTAAGTCATATCTTTCTTTCATAACCCGCCACAAAACAAGAGTTATATGGCATCTGTTCCCAATGCTGCTGTATTAAACTAGTGTGGATGTGTGATGAAATATTCATCAAATGTAGCAGCTAAAATCCTGGCTAAGTTCACTTATGTACAGTGAGATGTTCTGCAGTGTACCTAGTTGAAAGCCAGTTTTTATCAATGTGATGTATGAGGGCGGTTAAACCTGAACTATCGTTCACATTTGCTGATCATGCAGAAATTTTCTTGATGAACGCAGCTTATCGTTCAATATGTTTACTGACACATGGGGTCAGTAGTCATAGAGCAAATACACCAGACATGGACGGCAAGACCTTTATCAATGTCAACTCCGCCAGTCACTTGTGTGTTCAGATATTAGGCTACATTATTAGTCTTGCTCTATTCTGACTCCAGAGCATTTGCCGTTGCACACATATCGTACTTTTCAGCTTCTTTGACCTCTTTAGCTGGTGCTGCCCGTCTCGTAATGCCTCGTAAAGTCTGGGCAAGAAAGAGTCAAGAAATGCAGTCGTTCTGGAGTGTAGACATTCTTGCATTTCTTTTGAAACGCCTACCTGTTCAATCTCTTTATTTTTTTACATATGTTAAATATCTTTTATTGGTGTGGGATCCAGCAGTGAGAGTGTTAGGAATAGTTAACCCAGAAAAGAAAATGTACTTGCTCTCAGGCCAACCAAGTGTAGATTGGAAACAGATTTGAAGAGATTTAGCATTACATCACTTGCTCACCAATGGATCCTCTGCAGTGAATGGGTGCCATCAGAATGAGAGTCCATAAAATCATTATAGTAATCCATGACTGCAGTCCACCAATTAATGTCTTGTGAAGCGAAAAGCTGCATATTTGTAAGAAACAAATCCATTATTGTCGGTTTAACTTTAAACCATTGGTTCTGGCCAAGTTATGAATCCATTATCCATAATAACTTCCTTTAGTGAAAAAGTCTATCCCCTTGTTCCTTTTTACATCAAAATCCACTGATATATTCTTTTAACCGTTTTGGCCTGTAAAAGTTGCTTGATCTGTGCATATTTCTCTCCTAATTCAGATGAGACGACTTTTTCACTGGAGAAAGCAATATAATGATGGATTAAAAGGATATAATCTTAGTGATGGATTTTTATTTATTTTTTTATTTTTTTACAAACACTCTTCTTTTCACTTCACAAGACATTAATTGATGGAGTCATGTGGATTACTTGTGGATTATTGATATGTTTTTATCAGTGGTTTGGACTCTCATTCTGACGGCACCCATTCACTGCAGAGAATCCATTAGTGAGCAAGTGATGTAAAGCCAAATTTCTCCAAATCTGTTCTGATGAAGAAACAAATTTATTTACATCTTGGATTGCCTGAGGGTGAGTACATTTTCAGTCATTTTTTGGGGGGTGGGGGGGGAACTATTACTTTAATGGCAACATTCCTCAAAACATTAACCTATAGTCATCAAGATAAATCAAGGATGGAAATCCAAGCAAACAAGTTGGTTTTTGATCTGTAAGTCCATTTGATTATGTCCGCAGGTTTAGTGCCCTTTGCTCTGTTGTTGGCATGCTTCTTCACCAGCTTTTTTGAATGAGATTTTGGCAGGTGTCAAGCCTACAAACCCTACAAACCCCCGATACGAGTCCACTCTAGAACTCCTGTTAATGTGACCGGAATCAATAACTCAGGCCGAGCACATCATGAGGCGAGCTGTCAGGATTACAACGTCCTGAGCTTCAGCCAAAACAGGAGTGAAGCCATATAGATCCGTTTTGTGCCGTAACATGACAGTGTATAATTTGAAACCGTTGCAGTTAAAATAGCCTCTAAGGGCACTTCCCAGTCAGCTTCGAGAATTTCAGCTCCTAGGTCCTAAAGCCCTTGGGTTCCTGGTTTGCATTTTGCAGCACTATAATTAAATGGATAGTTCACCCAAAAATAAAAACTCTGTCCTCATTTACTCACACTCATGTTGTTTAAAATTTAATGTCTGCATTACTTTACTTTCTTTCTTCTGGGAAACACAAAATAAGATACTTTAGTTAAATAACATTGGGGTCCAATACATTTCATTTTTGGGTGAACTATTCTTTTAAGGATATTTTACAATACATATCCCAGCGTAAAATAGAGAGTTACCTATCTGGAAAAGTGTAAACATGGTGACTCTTTTAAACTCTGCTCTCTGTTTGTTTGAGCAGCTCGACCAGCCTGGCAACAGCAACATTGGATCAACCAATGGTGTGAGTTTAGGGCGTGGCTATCCGTTTGGCTAACCAATGGCAGACAGAGAGAGTGTTTGGGAAACCTTTGTGAAAACGTTTGGGTTTTTTCCCGTTTGCAGAAATTACACTCTTTGACTTTAAAAACACTTTATGATGGTTATCGGAGGTAGAAGCCAGTCACAGACCACTTCTAATGTTTTGATAGGCCACAGCCGGTCTTTAAACCAATGTCTAATGCTGTGTTCGGTTCCTAACGGTTCTTCTCAAGAGGTAGTGCCTTTACTGAATATTCTGGTTGATCTTCAAAGGTTGATGGTGTCACTCATAGTGTGTGGCCAAAGATTTCAAATAGACTGTTCCATTCATTTGTTAGTACGTCACTAGTCCACACTTGAAAGGACACTTCTTAGAGCAACCCTCATATCTCATATCAAAGCCATTCAAAAGACTGGTTAAAATGCTAAAGGCCCGTTCACACTAAGAACGATAACTACGCACACTTTCTGCAAGTCGAACAGTGAAGAGTTTTGTGAATAAGGTGACTAAATAATCCTAATTTACATAGAAAGATGTGTATTTGGACTGGAAGAAATAGCAGCGCTACTTCAAAGCATTGAGCTCCTGGTTAAAGACTCTAGAGTCTAAGTCTCACTGGTTTCTCCCCTCACTACCTGTTGAAAGGCAGGTGCATATGTTTTTGTAGCGGTTTGTAATAAGGAAGCACACAGGTCTCTTGTCGCTCACCCCAGTGAGCACAACAGGAGCGTGAGGCGCAGCCCTGATTTCTCAGAGGATATATGCCCAGAGGATATATGATATATGGTATATACCCGCCCTCTATCTCTCTAAATGGGCACTCTCTTGGGACCAGTTGCCTCTGCTTGAGTTCTGCTTATGGGAGTATTGTACTAAAGTGTTGTACTTTCTTTTTTGTGATGCTGCTAAAAAGAACATTATTTAGTGTATTTAGTGTAATGAAATGTGGTTATGCGGTTTAAAGTAAAAAAAAACACATTATTTTCCACATACTGTACATTATTGTTTCTCCTCTATGCCCCGCCTTTTTGAAACGCGTCGATTTTTACAAAGCTCATCGGTCTGAAAAAGCGAGGTGTGCTGTGATTGGTCAGCTATTCAGTGCGTTGTGATTGGCCGAATACCTCAAGCGTGAGACGGAAATGTTACGCCCCTCACCATACTGTTGATGCCGTGTCCGGCCGGAGCGACGAGACAAAAACATTAAAACCCATTATAAACTAGGCATTTGTTGCATCCAGTGGGGACATAATTACTGATTATAATGACTTATACTTTCTTTTTACGCGTTGCGTTGCATTGCATTGTGCCGCGTAAACATAAAACCCTGTCTGTATTTGTGATCAGAGAAATGACAAACAACAAGTGCTACTCTACTGCCCAAAACTCGCGTTTGAATCATCAGTGGCAATGAAAAACACAGCGGCCTAGCGTGAGCTGAGGCCGGGCTAGCGTGAGCGGAAGCCCCGGCTTAGCGCGTTCGTCCACGGTGAAATGTATGATGTTGATGTATTCCCTCAGCGACCAGCACAGATCAGCTCTAGGCATGACGAAGCGGATATCGTCCTCTTTTGGAAGACCAAACAAAGTAGTTTCGCTTTCACAACGAATCACACAGCGTCTTCACGACATGGCTGCAGCGTCAACAATACTACAGTGAGAATAAAAGTTACGCCTTCTTTCTTTGCGTGAACATTTGGGCGGCGTTATGCAAATCTTCCCACATAGTGAGGTAGATATGTGGGGGCGTGTTAGAACGAGCCGTTTTAGGTAGGTGTGGCTGACTCTTAACTTTTATAAAGAATATCTCTTTGGATTTGAGACTTTAGTCTTTGCAACT